CTGTTTTCTTTGTGTTGATATGCAATCACATTGGGTTTCATCAGTAAGTACTTCAAATCTGCTGTTTTCTGACAGGAAGGTTGTGTCATATGCATATGAATAGTTCATGAATCTTCCTCCAATCTGGATAGCATATTCCTCATATTCTGTAGCTTCTTGGATTTATAGGTTCACCATATAAATGGCATATGGAGAAAAAAAATAAAACTGATGTATTTCCTGCTTTTATCCATTCTCTTCCTGTCTGAATAACTGGATTCTTGGTCTCTGTATAGGTTACATATGAGCTTAATTAAGTTTAGAATTTTAGAGAGCTCTGGTGGCCTAGTCACAAGAAGCTGCACTGCAATCCCAAAGGTGTACAGTTCAAATCTACCAGATGCTCTGCTTGAGAAGGAGGGGCAGTCTCCCGTGACATTAGGATATGATTTGATGGTGTACACATACACACACACACACACACACACAAACACAGAGTTCTAGAATTCTCATTCTTCATAAATGTTATTTATAATTGTGTTATTATGATCATAATCAATCGTTTGCATAGTCAATAAAACACAGGAAAATAGTTCTCTGGTATTTTCTACTTTCATTCAAAATTCACCTTAGGTCAGCTATGATATTTCTTGTTCCATGCCTTCTTCTGAATCCAGTCTTCATTTCTGGCAGTTCTCTGTTGGCATACTGCTTCAGTTGTTGTATTTCTCTTTTGCAAGATTTCACCTGAGTGATATTAACGATATTGTTTGATAATTTCCACTTTTTGTTGGTTCATCTTTCTGTAGAATGGGCACATACATGGATCTCTTTCAGTCAGCTGGCCAGATAGCTCTCTCCCAATGTGTTGTTTTTTTAAACAGACATGTGAGCAACTCCAGTGCTGCTTCCATTTGCTGAAACATTTCAATTGTCATTTGGTCAATTCTTAGACCTATCTCAATCAATATAGCCCTAATTTATCCAGTATCCCAAATGGGAAACTACAAGTCTTAATTACTAGGCTTTCCCTGACATGACCAAGTTGTCATTTTCCCTCATCCTTTATGTATTAGTTGAGTTTAAACCTGACTCCTCCTTCTTTAATTCAGGATTTTAGAGTTTTTCAATCACTACAATGCAATCAATGCTGCAACTTTTGACAAGAGCTTTATATAAAACTTAATTAAGATTCACTACTGGTTCTATATTGCTCAGAACAAAATTAAAATGTGCTACTGGGCATTCCTGTCCTGTCCTATGGCTTTCTTTTTCAAATTCATATACTACAATTTGGTCATATTTCAGATATGGGAACTCTAGTGGCCTCATGCTAAGGAGCTGCACTGCTAACCCAAAGGAACACAGTTCAAATCTATCAGCTGCTCCTAGGGAGACAGATGGCATTCTACTCCCGGATGATCAGATATGAGTTGGTTCTCATTCAATGGAACAATTTTTTGCTATATTTTAAATAACTGAGCTTAAATTTTATCTTAGAAGGTCTTTAATCATCAAGGTTGGGTTAGATGTTGTTTGTTCTATTACTTTATCAGAACACTTATTGCACAGACAGTATGGCTTGCTTTCAAGCTTATGTTGTTCATTAGGATATGTGCTCCTAATAAAAATGTTCATAGCTACATACTGATTTCTTCATGTACTTAATCACAAAATAAACACTATCTTAGATGTTTACTAAATTAAAACTAATATACTGGCTTTGTTGAGACTACTGTGAATTCAAGAAGATAGAAAATTAAGTCAAATAAATATTGTGATATGTGAGAAAAAAACTATTCTAAATTTAAAACATATAGCATGCACTTGCATACAAATACTTGTAGAACTGTTTTCCAAGATGTGTGCATACATTTTATCTTGATTTTACACATCGTTGCTCATATTGTCAATATTACAGAAAAGGATCAAATTAAGCACAAATAAAAAACCTAAGGCTACCTTTACATCTATCTGAATTAATGCAAATGTATGGCTAAGGTAATTTTTATATAATTACTCACAATAAGCACATGTTTCATGTAAAAATTACATTAAAAAATGAAAGCCAAGACTATCTTGCACTTACAGTCTGAAGCAATAATTTTCAGCTTTTCACAGAGGAAATTCCACGGGAATCCCTGTCTCTCCCTTGATTCAATGCCAATGACTCAGGATGGAAATATTTCTGGGATAAGTGAGTAAAACGAAGCTTTTGAAAAAGAAAGCATATAATTTTCAAAAACAATATAAAAATTACTAAATAAAACCTTGAAATTGAAGATAATAATTTCAATTGCTATTTACAATAAATGGTAATGTTTAAAAGTCCCATTTCTTTTAATAATATAAAATACATTTTAAAAGTTTCTAAAAACTAAATGTTGCCTTAGATGAGAAATGTTGCATTTTACAGATGGCACACATATTTGTGAAATTTAGAGTGCACATTAAAGAGCTGATATAAAAATTTAATTTTAGGGAGCTTTGGTGGCCTAGTGGCAAGAAGCTGTACTGCAATCCCAGAGGTACACGGTTCAAATCCACCAGATGCTCTGCCAGAGAAGGAGGAAAAATTTCCCTTCTGTACCAGTCAGATCTGATTTGACGGGACAAGCACAATAAATAAATTAAAAAAAAAATAATTTTGTTCTTTCTTAAGTTGAAACTGGCTACAATAACATAAGTTAATCATGCTTGCTTTCACATGTATCTCTTGAAAATACCATCCTGGAGAATTTAATCAATATAGTTAAGACAAAGAGCTTATGTTTTATTAGTATACTGAACAGCATAGTAACCTTTTCAGTTGGCAATATGAAAATTTTCTGGAAAACACATTCATCTCTTTTGACTAATGTATTTCAACATTTTGCTAGAGTTAATGCCAAGTAGAGGTTCGCATAACCGAATTACCAAACTTGCTGAACCACTCAATCAATGGCTGGCTGGCTGTTTCTTTTTAAACAAACCTGATGGTTTCAAAAGACAATAGAACTTTTGACTTTTTAGAGGGAAGAAGCATCAAAAGACGGAAGGAATACACAGAGTCACTGTACAAAAAGAACTGGACGATGCAGAGGGATTTTATGAAAAAATATTATCACCGATAGATAATGGTAATAAAGGAGGAAATTCAAGCTGCTCCGAAGGAATTGGCAAAACATAAGGCCCCAGGAACTGATGGAATACCAAGTGACATATTTCAGCAAATGTTGCCCTGGACGCACTTACCAGGTTGTGCCAGGATATCTGCTACCTGACTGGAAGAGATTAATTTATTCCCATTCCAAAAAGAAGTGATGCAAAAAAGTGTGGAAATTATCCAACAATATCACATGTAAGCAGTACACTGTAAGTAGTACACCGACTTGAGAAATACCAGAAATACAAGCTGAGTTTAGAAGAGGCTGCGGCACTAGGGGCATCATAGCTAACATTAGATGGATCTTGGCTGAAAGCAAAGAGTACCAGAGGAATGTCTATCTGTCACTGACTAGGCAAAGGCATTTGACTGTGTGGATTACAATAAATTGTGGCTAACATTGAGAAGAATGGGAATCTCAAAACAGATGACTGCTCATATGAAATCTATACTTGCACCAGGAAGCAGTCCTCAGAGCAGAGAAGGGAAATACTACATGGTTCAAAATCAGGAAAAGAGTGCATGAGGAATGCATCTTGTCTCCATACCTTTTAAATCTTATGCAGAACAGATCACTCAGGAGGCTGGACTATTAGGAAGAATGTGGCATCAGAATTGTAGGAGACTCATCAATAACCTACATTATGCAAATGATACAACTTTGCTTGCTGAAACTGAGGAGGACTTGAAGCATTTGATGTAGAAGGTCAAGGACTGCAGTTTTCCATATGGATTGAAGCTCAGTATCAAGAAAATAAAGATTCTCACCACTGGGACAATGGCAGCACCATGACAGATGAAGAAGAGATTGAGACTGTTAAATTTCAGCTTGCTTGGTTCCACAGTCAATATTCTTGGCATCAGCAGTCAGGAAATAAAAAGATGAACTGCACTGGGAAAGTGTGTTGTCAGGGACCTCTTGAGTACTGAGGAGCAATGATGTCAGTCTAGAGACTAAGGTGTACCAGATCCAGGCCATGGTCTTTGCAACTACTTGCTATGCATCAGAGAGCTGGACAATGAATAAGGATGACAGAAGAATCGATGTCTTTGAGTTGTGGAGAAGAGTACTGAACCGCCATGAACTGCCAAGAGAAGTCTGTCGAGGAAAGGGTGAAACCAAGTTGTTCCTTGGATTTTGAAGCTCCATCTCACATACTTTGGGCATGTTGCCTGGAGGGACTGGTCCTTGGATAAGGACATCATGCTTGGAAGGGTGGAGTAGAGGAAGACTCTGGATGAGATAGACTGACAATCACTGGGGTAACCGGGACTGGGTTTTGAGCTATTGTATATACGCTTACTATACATTGCAAGAGATTCACTGAACAGAATAACAACTTTATTTTAAACTTTTGGCTTCTGCAACAGAATTTTGTCAAAACATTTTAAGTTATTAACTTGAACAATCTTCATTTTAAAGTAGAATACAAGAAACAGTCACAATGGGTCAGAAAGAGAATCATACTTTTAGTAGGAAGATTTAACTTTTTAAACTAATCTCAACAGAATGGAGATATACATTAAGCTAGTAACATAATATATAATGGCAAATGTTGTTCTGGAAAAAAGGAAATTAGTTTCCTATTCATAATTTTTAGAAAAGGTATTCTTTAAAAAATATTTTTCTTCTTATTTCCCTGCCATAATGCTAAAACACATTTATTTTCAAACATAAGAGTTAATAGGATAATATTCCATTTTAGCTCACCTGGCCAACATATTTTTTTTCAAGGCACTCTAGGAACTATCAAGGTTACGAAAATAAAAATTTTCCTCTTGCCAGTTCAGTTGCTGTTTTAGGCATGTTTCCCCTCAAACTTTTCAAATTTAACATAAGTGTTTTTCTGGAATTTCATTTTCAGCGGTACAGCCCTTAAGATATTTTTCTTTTATTTGGAGCCACTCCTTCATTTTCAACTTGCTGAGCAGACAAGCAACTGCTTTTGGTTTCCATGGAAACTGGATTCCTGCGGCTACGTGTAGACATTCTTGTTCCACTAGCCTGAGAGAGGAGGCAAAGAATAATATAGCTTAACATTTTGCAGTATACTCATATACAGTCAAATCTGTAAAATTTACACATGCACTAATCAGCTTGCAAATGAGCCTTTATATTTTTATTCTACAGCTACCTGGTCATTTCTGAACATTTTCAAAGCATTCCACCTGTAAGTAACAATCAGAGAAGGGGCAGTATGTAGAGGTGTGAAGGGGAAAATGTTCTACATGCTGGATTTCGAGGAGGCTGAAATGTTAAGTTAGAAAAATGAGAGAACCAACGAGATTCTGGGCCATGTACTTGACAGTAATAATGAAGATGAAGGACTACAAAAACAGACACAGAAAGAGAGGGGAAGGAGATAAAAGGAGTTTGGAGGCAGGAAAGAAAGAAGCTGGAAAAGAAAACAGAGAAAGGAACAAAGATGAGGACAGAAAAGAATACAAAAAGGGAAGAATAATAAATATGAAAATAAAGCAAAAGAGAACCTAAACTGAGTAGACTAAACAAAATGAAGGCATCAGAGAGAAGAAAGAAAAAGGGGGGAACAGGAAAGGGGGAAGAAGTGGTGTGGGGTGGTAGGAGGCTAAAACATTCCTAGTGCTGGCTCTTCTCCACCATGGCCAGCTTTCCTGACACAGGGCACTCCAGGCCCCCATCTACCCCACATGGTGTCAGGGCCAGCGAACATCTAATCCTAGGACGTGATTCTCTGTTAATCCTAATCCTACTGAAGATGAGATGGGGAAACGCAGTCTCCTCTTTTGTCACTGAGCCAGCATATGAAGACTTAAAAAAAAAAGGGTAACAGGGAAGGTGAGCTTTGGAGAGAAGCAGCTAAGTGTTAGAACCCCAACTCATTTCCCCAGAAGCTGCCCTTATGTGCCTCAATAGTTTTAAGCCACTTAAGTACCCTGTTTCTCTAAATTATGCCCACTGAATTCCAGTCTTAGGAATAAGAGACACTGTCACTCCAAGCACACACATAGTCTTGTTATTACATGCAGTCGAGTCATTTACCACTCATAGCGACCGCCTGTGTGAAAAGTAGAACTGTTCTATAGTTAAGGCTGTGATCTTTCTGAAACAATTCAGAGGGTCTGTGTTTTGAAGTGATTCTGGGTGAGTATGAATTATCAATCACCAACATTCTCGCCAATAGCCAAGCATTAGACTGTGCCACTAGGGGACTCCTCTCACATTTCTAGTCCAACAGAATAGTATTGACCTTGCTTTATGAGCTACTGGCTCACTAAAATTGTATCAAATTCCAGCTTCCCTCAGCCAGTATCTTCTCGCTCTAGGGCATTAGTTTTGGTTTATAATTAGATGAAGAGAAAGGACAAAACTGATTTGGGTTTCAAGTCTGTGAGTTTGACTGAATCTGGTGAAGTTTTTAATATACTGAGAAGTTGTTGTGACTTCTGGATTATATCTGCCGTTTACCAAGCAATTGAAAATTTTAAATCAATAGTATTTCCTATAAAGGTGTAATATCAACACAAATTTTATCTACTGAAGGCAGTGGTAGTAAGCAGCAGATATTCTTGTCTTCCATGCTGGAGACCAGGGTTCAATTCCCAGTCCATGAGATTCAAGTGGCGCTAACACTCATCTCTGTTACTGCAGACTTATATGTGGTTATGATGGGGAACAGGTTTCAGGGGAGCTTCCAGGTAAGACAGTCTAGAAAGAAGGGCCTAAAGATCTACTTCCAAAAATTCTATCAATGAAAACCCATCTGAATTTATGCATGGAGCTGCCATGAGCTGGAAACGCAATGGGAGCTGACTGCAACAGAAAAACAACTACTGTACTGACTAATACAAAGCAGAAGGACGCTTTTAAAAAAAAACCTTTTTTTTGGAGATTATGAGGGAGGGGGTGAAAATGGGTATAATAAATACAGATTACAAAAGCTGTGGAAGGAGTAAAAGGTATAAAGAATCGTTACGTACTGTCAAGTCGGAATCAACTCACAGCTGACCTTCCAACAGGTTTTCACAGGCTATATATCACACGGAATGAGACTACTCAGACTTCTTCCATGGAGCAGCCTGTGGATCAGAACGGCCAGCCTTGGGATGACAGGACAGCTCCTTACCCATCAGGCCACCATAATGTGCTCTTTTTGGCCTACTACCTAATAAACCTAGTTTGGTTGAAGCGAAAATGTCCCATTCTCATACTCTGCATGGCATTGAAAACAAAAAAAATTATTGATTTGCATACAATAATTTATCGTTTATGTTGTGTTTCACTCATGTACACTGTTCTCCTCCCCTCTACCCTCCAAACTCAGTGACCTAATGATTTCCTCCTCTCCCCTGCTCCCCTGGCCCGCTCATCCCCCTTTTGGATATCCATACACATCCTACTAGTTCTGTTTTTACAATAATGATCTTATGGCGCCTGACTGAGTCAGCTCAGCATAATGCTCTCTAGCCTCTCCTATGTTATATATTTTATTTTTCAAAATCATGGCTCCTAAGTGCTGCACAGCATAGTATTCCATCATGAGAATGTATAATTTTTCAATCTAGTTGTTTTTGAGGGGCACTTGGGCTATTTGCATGTTCTTACTATTTATTGTAAATAATGCTGTTATGAACATTAGTGTACAAAACTCCATTTGTGTCTCAGTTCTACTTTCCTTGGGGCATATTCCTAGCTGGGTCATATGGAATCTTTATGCTTAGTTTTTTGAGGAAATGCCTAACTCTCTTCCAAAGTAGTTTTATCATTTTACAACCCCACCAACAGTGTATGGGAGTTCCAATCTCTCTACTTATCAAATAGGGAAACAACAACCTCTTCAACAAATGGTGATGGCAAAACTGACTGAACTTCTACCTGCAGAAAGCTGAAATAGGATCGACATCTCACACCATACACAAAAATTAACTCAAGGTTACCTAGGCGTAAAGCACCAAACCATAAAGATTATAGGAGACAAAATGAGATGAAACTTAGCAGACCTAGCCTATGGTATAAAGAGGATGGCAAATGCACACTTAGGAGAGGATACATCGAAGAATGGGACCTTCTGAACATTAAGTCCTTGTGTGCATCAAAAACCTTTTCTGATAAGGTGGAAAAAATCAACTGACTGGGAAAAAATGTTTAGCAATAGTATCTCAGATAAGGGTCTCATAACAAAAGTTTATAATATACTAAAGGGCATACACAACAGAAAGACCAATTATCCATTTACAAAAGGAGTAAATGATAGGGAACGACCTTTCACAGAGGAAGACATTTGGAGGGCCAAAAGACATATGAAGAAATGCTCAAAATCACTAGTAATAAGAGAGATGCAAATCAAAACCACAATGAGATATCTCATCCTAATTGTGGTAGCAAAGTTTCACAGTACAGCAATCAATACATGCCGGAGAGGATGTGGAGAAACTGGAAAACTCTGGATGTTATTGTTATGTGCCACTGAATCTGAACTGACTCACAGCTGACCCTGCAGCAGGTTTTCAGAAGCAGTAAATCACATGAGAAGAGAGGCTGCCTATCCTCCCAGAGTAGCTGGTGGATCTGAACTGTGTATCTTTCAGATTATACTGCAGCTTCTGACCATTAGGCCACCAGAGCGCCCATGCTCTGGATGCTGTTAGGTGCTGATGAGTATGACTCACAGTGACCCTATGAATTGCCAACCTAAACCCTGTGCCATCCTCATCATTTCTAGCATTCTAGAACTCATTGCTGAAGTCACTGTGTCAATCAAACTCACTGAGAGTCTTCTCCTTTGCTAACCCTCTATCTTTCCAAGTATGACATCCCTTCACAAGGAACAGCCTCACCTAGCTACGTGTCTAAAGTATGAAAGACTTTGCTTCTGAGGAGTACTCTGGCTGCACTTTTCCCAAGACATCTGTTTGCACTTTGGGAAGAATATAAAATAGGAGGGTCTAAAGTACTTAACTGTTAATGGAAAGGTTGGTGGTTTGAATTCTTTAGTGCCTCCGCTGGGGACAAGGGGGGAAGAAAAAGATCTGGGATATCTGCTCTCATCAAGATGGCAGCCTAGGAAACGGCAGGGTGCAGTTGTACTTAGTCTTACAGGATTCTTGTGAGTTGGAATCAAATTGTTGGCACACATAACAGCAGCCAACAGGGTTAATTCTCACTAAACGTTGGGTTAGATTTTGGGCAGATGTGTAGAAGACTGTCATTAACTTCCCATAAGCTTTAAAAAACCCCTCCTATCTAACCAAGAAACATCAGTTATCTAACTGTCCTCTGTACCTTAATGCTGGGCTGTATATAAGCTGGTTTTGAATAATCTCACAAAATTGGTGGCCCTTCACAGGATATGAACAGACACTTCACCAAAGAAGACATTCTGATGGCTAACAAGCACATGAAGAAATGGTCAAAATCCAAATTAAAACAACAATGAGATATCATCTTGCCCCAGTCAAAACAGCAATATTTAACAGAACAGCAAGCAACAAATGCTGGCGAGGTTGTGGAGAAACTGGAACCTTTATTCACTGTTGGTGGGAGTGTAAAATGGTGCAACAACTGTGGAAGGCGGTATGGCGCTTTCTCACAAAGTTGCAAAAAGACATACCATTTGACCCAGCAATTCCACTACTGGGAATATACCCCAAAGAAACCATAACTGACACCCAAGCAGATAAATGCACAACCATGTTTATCGTGGCTTTATTCACAATAGCAAGGAGTTGGAAACAACCTAAGTGTCCATCAACAAATGAATGGATAGAGAAGCTGTGGTATAGTCACAAAGTGGAATAGTACACTGCATTGACAAACAAGGAACTCATGCAGTATTATTCAAAAAGGGGGACCCTGGAGGACACTATGCTGAGTGAAGTATCTTAGTCACAAAAGGACAAACACTGCATGGTGCCACTGTTGTAAAACAGGACTGACGTCAGGGTTGGGGAGAGATTGAGAAAGATGGGTTCAATAATGTATACTGCATTGAAACAGATGAGGGAGAAAACTGTTTAAAAGGAGTATGTGATTAGGTATTTTTGTTATGACAGGAGTCCAGAGTGAGTCCTCCTGGGGGAGGGTTTGTAAAACAATGAAAGAATTTTTCATTTACTTTTCCAAGAGGGTAGTGTACTAGGAGGAAGGGTTGGGAGGGGAGAAAAGTCCCAACAATGAATGAATGGAAACCCAAAGTCTCTGTAAATTTTCACTGAAATTAATAATAAATTAAAAAAAAATTTGATGGCCCTAAAATCAAGTGCTTAATATGGTACAGGTATACGTATGTAACAGAACTGCTACATCTTATAATTTCTGTGGTCAAATAGTGCCCATGTGGACCCTCCTTTGCCCCACTTCAAATCAATTATTTTCTTATTATAGTATCTTTTAAGACCAGCTATGTTATTAAAAAGCATTTCCGTCTCCTGACAGGTCAATCTCTGCCTATCAGGCACCCAAACATGTCTTGGGCTGCATGTGGCATAGAAAACCTCCCTTCCCACCTACACTTTCCCTCCCACTTGAGAACCTGTTGGGATGTGAATGGTAGTGGCAGTGGTGGCAGGTGGTGGTATGTAATGTTTGCTGACTCTGGGTGCTTGACCATGGCAGGAACCTTGTTTGCCCACTGCCTGCCACCCAACCTGGAGGAAGATATTACTCATCCTGTCTACTCTGGCCTTAGAGCCCCACCAAGACCCATACCCTCCTTTCTGCCTCTCCCAGCTGATCTGCAATTTAAGGACCTTGCTCAACATCCTCCTGACAGCCTCTGATCTTGTGTCATTCTGCAATCACACTGCACCCTTCATGACCAGACTAAGATCTCACAGATGAATGGGGGAAGAGTGTCTCTTACATGGCACAGTCACTGCCATGGCCTCTGGTACACTGCTGCTCAGAGTGGCCTTGGGAAGGCCCCTTGGGCTGGTTCATCCCCACCCAAGATCAGAAGAAGGGCCAACTGAGGAGTTTTTTAGTTGTCATAGATATAAAATGTTGGATAATGAGATAGTTATTAAATGAGAAGTAGGTGTAGAAAGATATTGCTTTTTATTTAAGACAATACTTGTGCAAACACAATATATTTCCCCTTTCACTTAAAGTTGTTGAATACCAGCATATTAAGCTAATCTTTATGTTTAGGAAGGAATAAGCCATCCATGGACAGAATTATGTATTTTAGATAAGTTTCTAAATAGAAAGAAAGAATTCTCTTAGAAAGAACATGAACCCTTCAAAGGTAGCTCTTCATGTATAATTTATATTCATGTAAAATTCATGTAAGTTATAGTTAAGAAAATTCTATCTTAGAAGGCTATAAAAATTATTACTTACCTGAAAGTTAAACTGGATATAACTATCACTTGTAAATAAGTTTAAAATGCCAACAACTATCTCCCCATCATTTCAGGCACTCCAACTAGTTAACCACATTTATATTTTCCCTAGTTAAGCTCAACTGGAGTTCTGGTGGCCTAGCAGCAAGAAGCTGCACTGCAAATCTTGAAGGCACACAATTCAAGCCCACCAAGCTGCTCTGTGGGAGAAAGATCAGTCATCTCCTCCTGTGCAATTAACTGTCTCTGAAAAACAGCTGGGGGGTCAGCTATGGATTGGTTCTGACTCAATGGTACACACAACAACATATTCAACTAGAAATGCAGACAGAAAGTTTACATTTCTAAAAGGATTCTCCAAAACAGTAGCATTAGGGTTGAGAACTGAGAGAAACATCTAAACTTCATTGTAAATTAAAAGAATCCTGAAATACTTGCATTTCAACTATTTCTCAATAGTTTAAAGAAAGAGAAAACACTGAAAATGGAGGGGAAGAGATTATTCACAGGGTACACAAGCAATAGATTCTGGAAGGCAAGCAAACAAGCAAAAATTACAGAACTCTGAGAACACTTTCACTCAACATTTTGTAGCACCAGGGAGGAAAATACACTAGAATTTTGTTTCTTAGGCACTCACTTACAGAAAATCAGACTTCCTATTAATATCAAATTAGAAACTAAAAATATGGTATTAAGAATGACCTTGTAGAGACTACCTTTAGCCATGGCTTTAGAAACATTTCAGATGACGAAATCTCATTCAACTGGGAAATATTCTATAGAAATAGTACTAATTGTAACTCAACAAACATTTTTTAGTTATATAATACTTATAAAGCCACAATTTAGCAATTAATACATTGGCTATAAATGTAATAGAACACACATATATTAATATTTGTCTTAATGTTTTTCCATATCCTACTTAACCAAATTTTCTTTTTTTACTCTACTAATTTTAATTGTACGTTTTCTTCTGCAAATTGTCTCATATGTTTTAGGAAATGAAAGAGAATAAAAAGGCATAAATGAAAATTGCAAAAATTATCTTTACTTTTAATGAACACATAGAGACTTAACTTGGTTAAGTCCATGTCCCCCTTGGCAAGGCAGAGCACCTTCTTCAGAGGACTTAGAAACCTCACACAACTGGTGGTTCCACTAACAAAGACTAGACTGGGGTAGAGCATGTTAAGTTTAGATAATATTTCTATGGCTATAATTAGAATAATCCTGTGACTCATATACCCAATATGAATATCAGGTTGAATTATTACATAATCAAATGAAGTAGACTAATAAGAGATAATGTAATGGAGTATTTTATTAGAAAAAAATCTTACCTTTTGTTGTGCTGTGGTACGTAGTGATTTAGGTGGAAAAGTACACGGTATTCTTCCATGATGGATATGATATGGTAATAAGAGATTGGGATCTAAGGGCACCCAGGGAACAGAGAGACTGGAAGGTATAGTAGGCAAGTCCGAGTGTGTTTTATGCAAATTGTATGCTGTTCTAGTAACTTTTCCATCAGAAGTCTTGTAGATCAGGAGAGAAGAATCTTCTGCTGCATGAGATAATAGGTAGGAACCCTCCTGCAAACTAAATCCACATCATGAAATCAGCTCTTTGGTTCACTATACAATTTCAACAGCCTTTCTTAAGCACAATCTGCTACTAAAGCGGAAAACAGTAATGGGAAAAGGAATTCTACTTTTAATAAACTTTTATGATAAAAAAAGTCAAATGGTTTTAACTATCTTCACATCTTTTAGACAAAATATTTTTAATTCTAACTCCAATGCTCTGAAGATCTGATTGTTTTCTTTTTACAGTTTCATTAATGGGTAAAATGAATTTTCTGTATTTAAAGGTGAAAACAAAGTGGTAGAAACAGTTACTGGAACAATTACAACAGAATATGAGATACTATGAGGATGATAATAACAACAGCAGTTAAAAATATGACCATGTTAGTGCTTCATGTTCATTTTCTCACTAAATTCTCCATAACAATCCTAGGAGGCTAGTATTATTACCCCTTATTGTAGAGGGAGAAACAGAAATTAGAGATACTAAGCAATTTGCCCACAGTACCAATGTACGGGGCTAATATTTAAATGCAGTAAGCCAAACCTCACAAGCTGTGCCCGTCATCATGCTCTTTACTGCCATAATAATCTCAGTTACGCAGAAATCTTTCCTTTTTCTTTAGAAAGCTTTATGGGAGTCAATGAATCATCAGAAAAAGCTAAGGAGATATGATTAATATGCTGTGCTTTTTGGGGACTGCATTCTCTTCTCAGTCAAAGTGCTAAGGAGGACATTAGTTCCTTGCCACAATATATCATTAAAAAAAATAAAGATGAATCATACTTTAGCTATGTGGATCTGTGTACACACCTAATACGTTGGGTTTTCATTAACTGTTAAAAACAAACAAAACAGGTTTTGACAAAAAAGGCCCACAGAATTATTCTTAACCATTGGGGAATTTTTTTCCCTTCTAAGTAACACCTTTCATACTTCACTGTAAGAAAGTAAACAATAATAACTGACTGATAATTTTCAATAAAATTTCTAGATATTTATAATAAATTCCCTATAATTTTCAATAGCAATTTTATCTCTTCTTTCTCTGAAAGTAAAAAAAAAAAAAGGTTACTGAGGAATATATTTAGTTAATTAAGAATAATGAAAAACTCTAAGAAGGATTACATGCCACTCATATGCAAAATACATGAATAGATACAACTAATGGTTAGGCAGAGCAGTCCTAAATGTCCTAAACACTTCAGTCTATGACTGTGTTATACAGCTAAAGGGAATTAAGGTAAGGGATGGGATAAAGGCTGCTAATGAACTGATCTTATAATGAAGAGATTATTTCATATAATCTGAGTGGTTCTGATAAAATCAGGAGGCTCTTAAATATGGATGAGAGGGACAAGAAAGAATCAGGAGATGTGACTGTACAAGGTCAGAGTGATGCGAAATGAAAAGAACTCAATTTACAACTCTGAAGATGAAGGAGTAAGGCCATGAGCCAAGGAATGGAAATGGAACCTAGGAGCTCAAAAAGGCAAGGGAAAAGATCCTAAAGATAGAAATATAGCCCTGGAAATACTCTGGTTTTAATCTAGTGAGATCTACACTGGACTCCAGAACTGTCAAATAATACATTTGTTGTATTATCAAATTCAAGATGATTTGCTACAGCAGCAATAGGAACTAACAAACTGAGATAATGAGAATCACATTTCAAAAGCTTCTAGTAAATTTCATATATAAGCACTGTGCTTTATAGAAAGAACGGAATATATAAAATAAAAATTGTCAATAAATCATAGAACCTCAGAACTGACAAGTACCTAGGAATTATTGAGCCCAGTATCAACAAATGAAACTAACAGTTGCACAGTAAATTCAGTGTCATGTTGGAGTAGAATGACTGTTCAAAACGGCTTTCTGAGTCATTGACTTTGACTTCTACCCCATGGCTGGAGGGTGTGAATATGCTAATGATGAGAATGAAGAGAACAGCACCTACAGATTGGAAACATGCAAATCAACTATACAGACAACTAACGAAGGGACTGGTCAATTTTGCTATCCTTCCAGGCTTAAATGGAGTAAGTTGAGTGGCACGAAAGGATTATCTTGCTAGTAACTAGAGTAGAGAGTGTAGCACTTGAATTTGGGCCAGAGATTTCTGTACAATACAGACTGAGACCAGATTCAAGATCAGAGCAGGAGCAGGAGCAGCACTGAACCAAAGACCAACAGAAGACAGAGTAGAACTGGAACCACCATTCGAGAGACAGAGCTAAGACTCTTTACCCAAGCATACTGGAGGAATGGGAGGTCAGGGGGTGGGCAGAAAGGAGGTGGAGGAAGAAGACACCACAATTGGCATGAAAGAGCTCTGTGACACTGGCCAGAATCTTGAGGCTGAAGGTAAGAGGTTCTTGAAGGATTCCTAAGCTGTCCTGTCTAAAGAATTGTATTCTAGTTCATATCTGAGTTATAATTTGTTAACTTCTTGAATAAACGTCATAATCATGAGTTTTGTTTCTGAGCTCTGTGTGGCCATTACAACACATTAGGGGATCCTGAAGTAGAGCAGCAAGAGCTCTGGGAGGGATAGTTGGTATTACAATTTACAGCATGAGGTGCAGGAGGGTGTGGGCATGTCTGACCACACAGGAATCAGTTTTGTAGTTCTGATGTTGTGCATGAGTACTGTTCCCCCTTGTAGAATTAGCAGAGGAGCCACCTCCATGTCAGAAGCATTGGGACAGTTAGATTAGAACTCTGAGCCTTATTATTTTCTATATTGTCTTTCAGAGAGGGTGTAATAGACAGGATGCAAAAACTGTTTTAATGTAACAAAACAATATGTCAAATGATCAGTCCGACAATCTATATTCTAAGATTTGCCATGAATACAATGTTTTTTGATCACAAGCTTTAATGTGTATCGTTATCCTGCAAATTAAAATACAGCTTTGGAAAGTTGAATGGCTGAATGACTCCCACCATGATGTTCACATCCTAATCACCAGAAACTGTGAATGTTACCTTATATGGCTTTGTAGGTATGACCAAATAAAGGTTTTTTTTTAAATAGAGAGATTATACTAGATTAGCTACGGAGGTCTGGTAGCCTAGTGGTAAGAAGCTGCGCTACAATTTCAAAGGCATTCAGTTTGAATCCACCAGCTAGCTGCTCTGTAGGAGAAGGATGGGCAATTTACTGCCTCCCGTGCAATTTACTGCCTCTAAAACCTGCTGGAGGGTCAGCTATAAATTGGTTCTGATTTGATGACATACAACACACCAGATTATTAGGTAGGTCAAATGATATAATCACAAATGTCCTTATGAGAAGGAAGCAGAGGAAGATACTACTACAGAAGAGAATGTGGAATGTGATAATGGAAACAGCTGGGGTGAGGAATCTGAAGATAGAAAAAGGAGCCATTAGTCAAATAACTATTAGAAGCTAAAAATGTCAAGGAAACGGTTCTCCTTGAAAAGTCCTCAGAAGAAAACAGCCCTGTTGATACTTTAAAACTAATTTTAGACTTCTAATACTCTGTTTATGAGTTTAAAAGTCTATATTGTTTTTAAGCTACCAATTTTGTGGAAATTTGTTACATCATCAACTGGAAACTAGTTCATAACCTCAGAGGAAAATGTAATTGCAGGTTCATTTAAGTCAGATACAATTACATTCTTTTATCTCAAAAAATTCAGTTTCGACATATCAAAATCAATCCTATATTTCTAGATTATTTTCCAACCTATCCTGAAAGGTGTATTTTAAAGTCTTTATAAATTTTTATCTAAGAAGATCAGATATATCAAGAAAATATATTTAAAAAATTACTTACCTATTTAATTTCTTTAAGATGTGTTGGAGGATGTTAAATAAACTTGAAATTCTATTAAAGAAAAAAGTTAATATAAAATTGAAAGACACAAAACTTATTATTAATAGCTACAGTTTGTTAAGAACAGAACTGATCTTAATAGTAAATAGGAAATGTGAAAAGATGGACAGCACCAAGATATAAAAATTTTTATATTTGGATTAACTTACAGGGTTTATGTAATTTTATCTATTTCTTGATTTCTTTTAATAATAAACAAATTGGTTTTTAGTCAAAAAACTATAAAGAAATCACTATTTTGTGTGTTCAAATTAAATACTTAAATTTATGTTTAATAATCAAATCCACATTTAAAAATATGTTCAGAAGTATTTAGCAGAATTCATCTGTAGGAGAACACCATGTCTTTTAGAAATGGTGGTGAATTCGCATCTAAATAAAATCATGAGTCATTTATGTCTGCTACCAGAGAAACCACTCACTAGGGATCAGAGTTTTAAAAAAGCAAAACAAAGAAACAAAAATAATCCAGAGCCCATTATTCCAAATATTTCATTAGTATTACAACAATTCTAAAAGCACTCCTTTATTTTTTTTTTTTCAAACTTTCACTGGGAAAGGAGGGCAAATGAGTAATTGTTGTGTATTACTGAGTTCAAAGAGAATGATAGCTGACCCTCCAGCAGGTTTTCAGAGGAAGTAAATCACAGGGGAGTTGACCACCCATCTTTCTCCCACAGAGCAGCTGGTAGATTTGAACTGTGCACCTTGGTGTTGTTCTTGTTAGGTAAACGTCAAGTTGAGTACAATTCATAGCAACCCAAAACAACAGACCTGAACCCTGCTCTATCCTGTGCCATATTCACACTTCCTGACATACTAGAGCCCATTGAGACAGTCACCAAGTCACCTGCTGAGGGTCTTCCTCTCCTTTGCTAACCTTCCACCCTTCCAAGTATCATATCCCTCTCCAAGGAACAGTCACTCCCCGCAACATGCCTGAAGTATGTGAGGCATAGCCTCATCATCTTTGCCTCCAAAGAGCACTTTGGCTGCACCAAGACATATTTGTTTGCTCTTTTGGCAGTCCATGGATTGTTCAATCTCTTCTCCAACACCACAGCTCAAAGGCATCAATTCTTTATTGGTCATCCTTATTCATTTTCTAGCTCTCAGATGCATAGCAAGTGACTAGAAAGACCGTGGCTTGAATCTGACCCACCTTAGTTCTCAAATTTAAATCATTACTCCTGAAAAATTTGGAGAGGCCCCGAAGAAGTGCAGATTTTCCCAGTGCAATGCATCTCCTTATTTCCTGACTGCTGGTACTAAGGGTATTAATTGTGGACCCAAGCAAGATGAAGCTGTTGATAATTCCCATCTCTTCTCCATCCATCACAATGTTGTCTATCAGTCCAGTGGTAAGAATCTTTGTTGACTTGACTTGACATCGGTGTTAGCAGTGCAATGTCTTACCACTAAGCCACCAGTGCACCACAGTGAGGAACTGTTACTGTTAGGTGTCATCAAGATTAGTATGACTGATAGCAACTTTATGAGCAACAGATCTGAACCCTTTCTTAACCTGTATCATCCTTTCAATCTCTGAAACACTGAGCCCATTTCTGCAGTTACTGTGTCAATCCATTTAGTTGAGGGTCTTCCTCTCTTTTGCTGTCTCTCCACCTTTCCAAGCATGATGCCCCTTTTCCAAGGAATAGCCTCTCCTAGTAATATACCCAAAGTATGTGAGATGACATTTTACAATTTTTGCCTCCAAGAAGTACTCGGGCTGCATTTTCTCTAAGACATAACTATTTGTTCTTTTGGCAGTCCACAGGATATTCACTACCCCTCTCCAACACCACACTTCAAAAACAGCAATTCTTCTGTCATCTTTCTTCATTGCTCTCAGCAGCAGCATAGCAAGTAATTGAAAAGACTATGGTCTGAATTAGGCATACCTTTGTCCTAAAACTAATTTTAGAAGAAAGGAAGTCCTAGAACAGTTAGTTGTGGTCATGTATACTTAGGTTAACAGGCTGTTGTGTGAGGGAACATTACATGGTTTAACATTAAGAAAGGTGTGTGCTAGGGTTGTATCCTTTCTCCAAGCCTATCCAATCAGTATGTATTACCTGAGCAACTGGACTCGATGAAGAAAATGTAGCATTAGGATAGGAGAAAGACTTATCAATAACCTTCATTTTGCTGATAATACAACCTGGATTGCTGAAAGTGAGGACCTATAGTTCTTGCTGCAAAAGATCAAAGACTACAGCCTTCAAAATGGATTACATTTCAAGACAAGAAAGCAAAAATTCTCACTACTGGGCCAATATGCACATCAAGAGCGATGAAGAAAAGATTGGGACTGTGAATGACTTCATCTTACTTGGATCCACAGTCAATATATCTGGTACCAACAGTCAGGAGATCACTGGGAAAATCTGTAATCGGGGACATCTCCAAATTATTAAGGAGTGAGAGCAGAGTATGCAAAACTTTCAAACAAAGTCCTATAACGGGCAAATTTGCTGTCAGTGACTTTTTTAAAGTGTTAAAAAGAAAGAATGTCAGTTTAAAAACTAAGTATGTCTGACTCAAGCCATGGTAGTTTTTTATTGTTTATTTATGGGACATGTGAAAAGTGAACAATAAATACAGAAGATGAGAGAACTGATGGTTGGTGAAGAGTAACTGAATATACCATATGCTGCCAAAACAACAAACAAATCTGGGCTAGCACACATGCTGGTAAAGTATTTGGCAGGATTCGTGTGCAAGAAATGGACATCATACTTAGGAAGGTGAGGGTAGGAAAAGGGGAGGAAGACCTATAATGAGATGGATTGACACAATTACGGCAACAATGGGCTTAAATACAAGAGAGATCGTGAAGATGGGGCAGGATTGGGCAAGGTGGTGGTATGCTGTTCAGAGGGGTGCTATGAATTGGAGTTGAGTCAATGGTACCTAACAATTTATACATATAAAGACAAGTCCTCTCTCAAGAAAAACAGACTTTATAATAGAAATCAAAATGTTCATGTATGAGCACAGAGTTCATGTTTTAATTTGGCATTAAGAAAAATACTTGTGTCAAGCTCCATGGCTGGAGTTAAATAATTCATGTAAGTATTGATGAGTCCTCATCCAAACATCCTAACAACTAAAGCTGTCATGCTAGCTCAATGTATTCTGTGGAGTAAGTCACTCTAAGTAAAGATTGCCTCATATCTAAAATCAAGATGATAATCCGACAGCCCTCCCTAGCCAAGTGGTGAGATCTTAATAACATGTTTCTTAGTGGTGCACCACTCTCTTGCTCTATTCTGGTTTCAGTAAGGAGCTCTGGTGGTGTTGCAATGCTAAGCAAATGATAAGTGGCTCATCTCTATTAATGACTCTGCAAGAACAGTTAGTTTCCTCCTGTCAATATTTACAGCCTTGGAAACAGCTTTGGCTCTGGTGCTGCTGGTATTGTATTTAACTTGAAGACGGAGATGGAAATAAGAAAGATCATATTAGGAAGTTTTTTTATTCCCACCACAAAGTAATCTTTCTTACTTGAGAGCTGATATCTTTTCTTTTAATTCCTCTGAAGTAATCTCTTCTAGCAGGAAAAGCTTTGAAGTAAATGCATCAATATGTCCTAAAATGAAAAAGAAAACTTAAAAAGAACGGTAGTTTTTGTAAAATAGAAAAAATAAATCAGTAAGTTATTTTTAAATTTCTTTAAAGATGTTTCAACAAAATTCTAATGAACTGAAGATTTTTAATATGATTTTCAAATTAAAGTCAATGCATTCTGCTTACTACATTAAAATATATTTTAAAATAATAAAAAATTAATATAAAAGAAGCACATTAATTCTAAGGTAGTTGCTAAGGCAAAAAGTTCATATTCATGTGCAAAATTAACATTTAAGTCCAAATTTAAGAATACCAACTGTTAATGCACTGATATTTCTAATTTCAATTGACGTTGCACTTATAATGGAAATATCTCAGAGAAAAAGGTGCCTATTATTACCTGAACAAGCGGCTAACACCAATTTTATAGTCTGTGCATACTCTGTACATCTATGGTCCTTAAGGAAAAAACTTACATGATAAAATCTGGTTTACTTTAATTTTTATTTAAAGTATTCCATGGAATTTCCTGTATCTTTTCTTTTTAGGAAAAGTCTGTTTAAAAAAAGTTTTACTTCACTAAAAACATGAGATGTTTCTAAGATTCTAAAAGACAAAACAGTAAACTTTCAAGATATTCCTATTTTCAAAAAGAAAGTTTACATTCTAAAATAGGATGAGACACAACACTGAGTTGAAATGGACCAATAAAAAATGCTAAAAAAGATAGTCCTGAATTAAATGCAATATAATTAAATCAATACAAAAACCATATTTTCAGTCCTTAGGCAGCTGAGCAAGGGCTTCCTGGTCATTGCTTTTCAGTCATGAGCAATCACTTCTGTGTATCACAGTGTGTGCTACAATTTTTTAAAAAAAATATTAGCAAAGTCAGGAAGCATTGCTTTATATATTTATTAATCTTATTAAGAATTTTATAAAACTATTAATTTTTTTGTTGCTAAGCTGATTCTAAAATTGGAAAATGCTAAGGACCAAGAGTAGCCAAGAAATTCTTTAAGAATAAGCTCATTAAAACGAATAAAATTTAATAATAATTTTTAAAAAGTTAATGACAAAAAAAAAGAATAAACTAACAAAATTTAGTTTATCAAATAGCAAATATAAGTTTTGAGTACTATTATAAATGTACTTAAAAACTCCAATGTTGTTGTTATGTAACACGGAATTGGAACCAACCCACAGCTGACCCTCCGGTGGGTTTTCAGAGGCAGTTAATCACATGGGAGGAGGTTGCCCAGCCTTCTCCCATGGAGCAGCTGGTGGCCACAAACTGTGTGCCCTTGAGACTGCAGCACAGCTTCTTGCTACTAGACCAACAGAGCTCCCTAACCAACAGGAGACTGAATAGGACAATCATAAAATGGAACAAAAATATTTGGAACAAACATAGACAACAAAGGAAAATAATGGACAACATAAAAACAGGCAAAATGTTTCAACAGGTAATTCACAATGTTATTAAGTTAAATATATACTTAACCTACCCCCAGTAATTCCACTTTTATGTGTACAGTGCAATAAGTGGCAGTTATTTTACAAGAGTGTTCATAACTGCATTAAAATGGAAACAACTCAAGGATGTTCCCAAAGTTAAAGGGATACATTGTGGTATACCTTTTCTCACAAGGGGGACATAAAACCAAACCAAAATGTAATTTGTACAGAGTTGGCAAAACAAAATCATGATGTTAGAGTCGGTAACTGGTTCCCTTTGAAGAAGAGGACGAAGGGTTACAATTGTAGGTACCACAAGGGGAAACTATTAGGGCACTGATTACTTAGTCTCCTTATTTACAGTTTACACTCTATATAGTGTGATAGTGGTTTTGACTTTAAAGAAGTCACATGTCTTTAAAAATCAACAAGATCTACAACCAAGGGAAAATAAAATAGATGAATGGGACCTTCTGAGAATCAAATCCTTATGCACATCAAGAAACTTTTCCAAGATCTTCACCCTGAAACCTACAGCGTCCCTTCCCAGCAGGAAGTAGCTAAGAGAATACGCCATCCCCTTTTCCTCATGAATCAGGGTGAAGTCTCTCTCAGGGAGGAGAGCTAGGGAATGGCAAAGGACACACTGACAAAGGAGATTAATCAGAACTGGCTTCGACAAGCACTGTGGCAATTGGACAATTAAAACAGACATTCGGGTGGGGAGGGAAGAAGAACAACGAACTGGGGAGGAGGGTAGAGAAAACAGTGCAACAATGAATGAATGAAAACCTAAAATCTCTGTAAATGTTCACTAAAATGAATAAAATTTAATAATAATTAAAAAAACAAGAAAAGAAAAGAAACTTCTCCAACAGGGTTAAAAAGGGAAGCCACAGACTGGGAAAAAGTATTTGGTAATGACATGTCTGATAGAGGACTTATATCTAGAATCCTTCAGCACTACAACAAGATAAACAACCCAACTGCAAAATGGGCACAGGATGTGGACACTTCACTAAAGAAGACATTCAGATGGCAAACAAACACATGAAGTACTAAAAATACCTAGCTCTAAAAGAGATGCAAATCAAAACAACTATGAGACAGCATATCACCCCAGTAAGAACAGCAAAATTTAACAGAGCAACAAACAACAGATGCTGGCAAGGTTGTGGAGAAATTGGAACCCTTATTCACTGTTAGTGGGAGTGTAAAATGGTGCAGCCACTTTAGAAGGCAGTATGGCGCTTTCTCAAAAAGTTGGAAACAGAAATATTATTTGACCCTGAAATGCCACTACTGGGAATATAACCTAAAGAAACCAGAACTGCCACCCAAATAGATATATGCAAATCCATGTTTATTGAGTCTTTGTTCAGAACAGCAAAGTCAAGTGCCCATCAACAAACAAACAGAATAGAGAAGCTGAGGTATACTCACACAATCGGATACAACACAGCACTGAAAAACAAGGAACTCATAAAATATACAAAATGGGTGACCCTGGAGGACATTACGCTGAGTGAAATATCTCAGTCACAAAAGGACAAACACTGTATAATGCCACTGTTATAAAATAGGACTGACATGGGGGTTGGGTGAAAACACTGTTATAAAGCAGGATTGACATGAGGGTTGGGGGAAACTAAGAAAAGAGGGAATAAATAATGGGTACTGCATTGAAACAGATGAGGGAAAGAACTGTTTAAAAGGAATATATGATTTGTATGACACCAGTCCAGAGTAAGAGCTGCATAGTAAAATGGACTCAGAGGGACAGAGAGGAAGAGGAAATTGTGCAAATGAAAGTATTTATTTTTTCAAAGAGAAAAGCAAACTGGGGAGGTGGGTAGGGAGGAAAATGTGCAACAAGGAATGAATTGAAATCCAAGTTCTCTATAAACTTACGTAAAATCTGAATTAAAATTTAGAAAACCAACCCCCTAAAATAAATAAAATTACCCAAGAATTAAAGACAAAATGTTTAAGAATCTGCTTAGTCAGTGCAATTTAAACCCTTTTATTCCCTTCAAAAAACAAAGTAAAAAGCCATTCTGTCAAGACACATGAAATACTGAGGTTTAAAAGATTATTAAAGCCTTGATTTCAAAATACATGTTTAAGCTAATTAGCACTTTTAAAAGAAACTTGCTAGAAAACATCTGTATTTTAATGTGAGGGAAAATAAATATTTTTAAAAGAAAAATATTTTGTTGACATTCATGTACAACTAAAAGAGATAAGGAATGAAAATATTCAATATTCACAGGTCTGTCCAGCCACTGAATTCTGAAATAGCAATTGTGGTTTAGCAGAAAGGAATGCTAGCAATCATAATATTGAAAACATCTAACTACAGAGTGGAAATCTCTACAAAGGAGTTAAAAGTTGTATTTTCAAGGGAATTTTTTTTCAAAAAACCAGACCATCAATCTTCTTTGATAACTTACCAACATAAAATGAGCTGTTGGAATGCAATAAACTTTCAGTCCACAAGCGACAAAGTTCACTTTCAGTCAAAGCTTCAACTCCGTAACAAGCCTGATACTCCACTTTTGGTAGTACATAAACCGGAAATTGCTGCAAGACAAGGTTATTTTTTCAGAGACCCATTAATTTACTAGCAAATACATTCTGCCTATACGATAGAACTTTGAAGTGATTCAAAAGGTTCTTTCATGACCCATGGAAACAGGGAAAGCCTACTGGTTGTAAAGCAACCAGATCTCTTCTGTGGAGGATTTGACAAGGAATAGTGCCCTGCTCAAAAATGGTACAGTTTAAGTATGTGTCCTCTACCACTTCTGAGTGGACGTCAATGACTATCAAGGTAAGAAACAGATGGATAAAAGAAATCCTCCCCTAAATCCAAATCAGCATATCGCCCATGTATGCACTCCAACATTTATCCCTCCCCCTGCTTTCTGTCAAGAAAGATGACTAACAGCAGAATCCTTGGAAACTGAATCTTAAGTTGCAGAATTGCCCAAAGCTTAAAAGTCAGGTGTTAGGAAACAATAACTGTAATATATGAAAATAGTTTTCAAGTGGATACAAAAGGTAAAGATTCAGGATTTTGCCCCTTTCTGATTTTTTGAAGAGTCTCAATTTCTTAAGACAGAAATACTCTGTAAATGTATGAGCATTAATATCTGTGAATATAAAAATCTTCATCAACACAAAAGCTTTATTTTAGACACTAAGTATTATGTATCCTCCCCCAAATCATGCTGAAGTCCTAAGTATTCTACCTGTGTATAAGACCCAGCTTGGAAACAAGGTGTTTTCTTTCGTTATGATAATAAGCCCATATGGGAGTGGGGTGGTCCTAGACCTAAATCCTTCTGACTAGCTGTTGTTAATATGTATCCTGAGTTGGATTTGACTCGTAGCTGACACTCTAGTGGGTTTTCAGAAGCAGAGATTGACCATCTTTCTCCTGCAGAGCAGCTGGTGGATTTGAACCATGCACCTTTGGGTTAGCAGTGCAGCTCCCTAAACCTAGGCCACCAAAGCTTCCATATCTCCCTTGTCTTATAAAAAGAGATAAACACACACACACACACACACACACACACACACTCCCCTCCTTGTGACAATGAAGGCAGATGCATCTATTAGCAGCAAAGGAATGTCAAGGACTCTAGCAACTAGGAGAGAGGACTACAGGAAGAACCAATAGCCCCAACACCCTTGAACTGTAAGAAAATAAGTGTATGCCCTTTAAAACAACTCCTTTATGGTATTTTTTAAATGACAGCATTAGGAAACTAAGATACTAAGTATCTGACTAATTATCCATTCAGAGTTTATTGGTCAGTACATGAAACTAAAGTCAAACTACTGTACTCATTAGTGGTTTAAAAGAAGATCTATATATAGAATAAGATCTTTGTAAAGTAATAGAATGTTAGCTATATTCACTATCTTATTTCTGCCAAGGAATATTCTTTTAAGAGGAGTCTTTTCTGTTTCTAGCTACAGAAAGAAAAATATATGATTTAAGGGAATTATGCAAAGTACTTTTCAAATTGTCTCAAGCTGTCTTCATTTATATATTTGAAAATATTTCATCAATATTTTTAAATTCTTGATTTTCACAAAGTGGCAAACCTGCACAATGGTAACAGGAACAATTCAAGTGCAGTAAAATTTTCATTTATCAACAGCAAACAAAACTGATATATGAACCTTTTGAGAGGTATAAAACGAAAAACTGTGCTGCTTAAATTTCAATGTGCATATAAATAACTTGGTTGGTTGTCTTAAAAAACACAGATCCTGGAGAGGAGCTCAAGATTTTATATTTTTGACAAATTACTCTTCTAAGGACTATTACTTTGAGTAATCAACCTTCCACCGAGTTTCTGAGGCATCTAAATCTATAAAGACGAGAAATCTCTTAGGATAATTTGTTTGTTATAAGTATTTGCATAATAATTCTTTGCAAACTGATACCCTGTATAATAATTTCTTACAATTTTAAATTAAACAGAAACTAGGAGCTCTGGTGGCCTAGTGGTAAGAATCTGCACTACAATCCTACAGGCAATTGATTCCAATTCACCAGATGCTCTGTGGAAGAATGGGCAATCTCCTATCATGCAATTTATTGTCTCTGAAAACCCAATAAAAGGTCTGGTATGGGTAGATTCTCACTTGAAGGCACACAACAACAGAAAAAAAAAGAAAAGCCTAAAAAGATAAGACATTTTCTCATGAGCACACAGCTAGTTTAGAGCAGAGTTAGGAAAGAAAGAATATAAAGAAATGTTCCCTATCTAGGTGATGAATGGGAAATGTAGTATGCTCTTGTTTGTAAAATTTTTAAAATTTAAACAAATATAAAACTTTTGAAAATAAAATACTTTGGGGGATTTTGAGTGTACTGTGCCATGAATAAAAAGAAGCCCAGAGTACCATTTTAATTTCTGTATGTATTCTACTGCCATCTCCAGGAAGCCAGTAGAAAGAAACATCATTCTTAAGCATTTCAAAATTGTAGTGAAATGTTAATGAAATTTTTCATAGCCTAAAATTAAAATTCATTATTTCCTCATCTCTTGAGTGGTAGAGGTGATTCCTTCTTTCTCTGCCTTCTGATATTTTATATAAATCTTTTAAAGTTTTACATGTATTTCTAAGTAGATGGATACATTTCACAGTTAGTAAGTATCCCCTTCACAAGAGAGGAAGACCCTGGACAAGACGGATTGATTCAGTGACTAGGGTAATGGGTGTAGGTGTGCTGGAGACAATAAAACTGGCACAGGATAGAGCAGGGTTTAGGGCTGTTGTACATAGGGTCACTATGAGTCGCAGGTGACCTGATGCCAAATAACAACAGTATACCCTCATTAATGCCAATAGATAGTTTCTACATTTCCCTTACATTTATCACCTTCATAATTCTTCTATCTAGACTTGAAATGACAATATGAATTTTAAAATAAATGGATCTAAAATCTTCAAACTTTTAAGGATATAGCACTTAGAAAGTTTTTGTTAATTGAGACAGATGATAACAGAAATGTCACTTAGTATTGTTGTTAGGTGCTGTCAAGTTGAGTACAGATTTCATTGTTAATATAGAACTCAGTAAGCTCCAGATTCATCCTGTGGCCTAAATGAACCTTCTTTATTTCATTCCATTTTGAGACTGGCTGCTATTTTAAAGTTTTATTTAAAGATAGTGCAACATAAACAGACATGAACAAAGAAAAACAAAAGAGAGATGAGGTCAAGTATTAGGTTCTTGGACATCAGAGGTTGAAAAAAATAAGTATCTTAGAGCTTTAACTAACTAAACAAATTTAATTTTATATGGGAAATTGAGATGTATTTCAAAAATATTGTGGGTTTGGTTCCAGATCATCACAATAAATACCATGATCAAGCAAGTTGCACAAAATGGCCAGTCTCCTCATACATATTAAGTTATGCTCATACTATACTAGTTTACTGAGTGTGTAATTCAGCATTACAAATAGCCTGTAATATTGTTGAGTTGTAATAAAATATGATGAAGAAACATGAAGAGAGCACATGCTGTTAGAAAAGTGGTGCTGACAACATTTGTTCCACTTGGGTTGCCACAACCGCCACAAATTTGCTTCAAAAAACCAACATCCTTCATGAAGCACAATAAAATGAGGTACCTGGGGTTGCTGTAATGCTGAACTTTGTACCACTGGGGTGTCAAATGCCATAAAGGTTAACCATGGTAGATAGTGTTTGTTGGAGCCCCCAGTTTAAGGCAGGTTTGGAAGCAGGTGTGGCATCCTTTTTTTAAAAAAAAAAAAAATAAAACATTCTTCTGGAAACTCTTACGAACTTTGAGAAATGACAATACTTATAAGACAAGCTTCAGGTCTTTTGTTCATAAAGTCGCTCGACTTGACAGCAATTAACAACAACAACGTACCTGTATTAATGAGTATGAATTATTACCTAAATTTTAAATACATAACTACTTTAGAATTTCTGGAACTAGTGCTTCAATTTTTCTCAAAGTTCCACTTTCCATTCTTTAATGCCATCCTTTTCTCTATCTCTCAATTTTATCTCATTTATCCTATAACCATTTATTGAGTTTCTATAATAGACGTATCCATATATAGCGAGATCTATAGAGATATATTAACAAATAGGATATAACTTTAAGAGGTTTATATTCTACTAAGGGATTTAACACATACTGTAAGCACATGGTAAGGAGAGACCAGTTCTTAGAGAAGAACGTCATGCTTTGCAAGGTGAATGGACAGCGCAGGAGAGGAATACCCAGGGTGAGATGGACTGACTCAGTGATTGGAGAAATGGAATTAGGTCTGTCAGAGAAAATGAGATTGGCTTGGGATAGGGCAGGGTTCAGAGCTGTTGTACATAGGGTTGCTATGAGTCTTAACAGCTTTGGCACTAAGTGGTAAGGAATTGCTGGCAATGTAAAGGTAAGTCGTTCAAATCTACCAGCTGCTCCAAAGGAAGAAAGACAGGCAATCTGTGATTTACTGCCTCACAAAACCCACTGGAAGGTCAGCTATGAGTTGCTTCCAACTCAATGATATACAACAGTAACACAGGATTTAAAGGTAGCACTGGTGGTACAGGACCCATTAGGGTACAGGTCTGTCTGTTGGTCACTTTGGGTAGTAGTCAACTCAGTGGCACCTAATAGCAACAGTAACTGGAGTTACAATGAATAGGGATCTGTGTGTTGACCCAAAAGTAGCACCCGTTTTGGCAGTTATGAATCCACCACTGGTTCTGCATAAGAAAGATGGGCAATCTCCTCCTGTCAATTTATAGCCTCCAAAACTTCCCGTGGAGGTCAGCTTTAAGTCGGTTCCAACTGAAGAGCAATAACTATATTTGAGTTGAAGGGATTTAAATGATGTAAATGAAATTACTGAGTAAAATGATAGATGCAACACAACCATTCACTGAAAATTTTAATCTTGATTAGACAAATCAGAAAAATTTTTAAAATATCCCATTTAGATTATTCTTTCGGGTTCACTTCTTTTGGCATATTTACATAAAAAGTTCTCTTCTATATATGTACTGACATATATAAAATGCACTGAAATTAATGAAATTAATGACAATGTCTTTATGAAGTATGTAAATTTTGCTTGGGTTTTTTTCCCCAAATTATAAAACAATTTCTAAATATAGATAAATAAGAAAGCAGTAGATTCACAGAAGAAGACGTGAAGGAAATGAGGCTAGCTCCAAAATAAATTAGTAAGGAAGAATAAAAGAAAAAAAATTTTTTTAAATATAGCCTCATGACAGGAGTACAGCACAAAGGCTGTATAGTGGAGTGGGCCTGGGGGGAGGGATTGTAAAACAATCTTTTCAAACAGAAGAGTGAACTTGGGGGGGTGGGGGAGAGGATGGGCAGGGAGAAAAGTACAACACTCAATGAACGTAAATCCAAAGTCTCTGTAAATTTTCATTAAAATTAATAATAATAATAATAAAAAGAAAAAACCATAGCTTATAGATGGATATTGATACACTAGAAAGCAAGAAAGAGATGATCATAAAGTGATCTATCACAAATTTACACAAAGAAAAAAGGTATCTTAAGAAAAATTAAAGGGGAAAAATGTCAATATTTCTTACAGAATCAATTATAGAATTATAATACAGAATTGCCTTTTTACTTGTCGGAATTCAGTACTTCCCTTTGCACCCACGCAAATCAAACCAATCTCCAAAAGGACTACACATTTCTAAACGTGGAAAGAATTTTAAATTATCAAAAAACCAGTAACTTGAATTGTGGGAAACAAGTTCTTAACTATGAAAAAACATTTACATTAAGCCCCTACAAAAATAAGAGGGGAAAACCAGAGAGATTTGGTCAATTAACAATCCTGAAAAGATTATTTAGTGTGTCAAAGCTCATTTTTCAAAATTTGGATTTCTAAAATATATTATGAAAAGCTCCAAAGAAAGAGAGAAATGGGCCCATATGTCATAAAAGAAATCCAAATTCACTGGGACAGCAGGAATAAAATCCAGTCATGGTAGTTTTCATCACAAAATTTAGGTAATTTTGTGCAAGAATGTGACAGGCACTAATAACTATTATACACAAGGAAAAATCTTACTTTATTAAAATTAGTTCCACTATTTTACTAAAAAGAAAGAAAAAAGGTCCTTAACCTGGAAATAGTACTGTAAATGTGATCAAGAATTTAAACTTTATAATAATGGCATACCATATCCTAACTTCCAAAATAACTTACTCTTCTGATTTTCTTCCGTTTTTTAGAACGTGGTCTTGTCTCTATCCTCTGGACACTGCAACGCACGAGTAATAACAGGTCTTGAAGACTAAATAACTTATAAACAAAATTTCCTTCCTGAGGAGCTAGATATTCTGACGTATCTTCAACAAAGTCCTGAAGTTCATATGGCAATCCTTTAAAAATAATAATTATATGTTCTTACTTAATTTTAAAATATTTAGCCCTTTATCCATTATAATCAAACCAAACCCATCATTGTCAATTCTGATTATTGTGACCCTACTGGGCAGAGGAGAACTATCACGTAAGGTTTCCAATGTTATATATCTTTATAGAAGCTAACTGCCATATCCTTTTCCTAAAGAAGAGGTGGTGAGTTTGAACTACCAACCTTTCAGTTAGCAGATGAAGTCTTAACTACTGTGCCACCAAGGGTTCTTTTTTTTTTTTCCATCATGATACAGCTAAAACCCTCTATTGGTGGGTTAATCATAGAAAAAGTTATTTTTCTTCTTCTATCCACTTTAACTTTCTACTTCCACAGCATCACTGATCCTTTACTATTGTTGAAGTGCAGTGGAGCCCTCAACTAACTGATTACGGTCAGCTCCCAGTTAGGGAGCTCTGGTGGCCTAGTGGTAAGGAGCTGTTCAAACCCACCAGCTGCTCTGTAGGACAAAGACGGACAATCTTTTCGCACGTGATTTTCTACCACTGAAAATCCACTGGAGGGTCAGTTATGAGTTGGTTCTGACTTGATGGTACCTAACAACAACAAATACTTTTTCTGGAGTTGCAGAAAGATGTAAACTAAAACTTGAAGGTACTCTTCCTTTTAACTACTCCTTTAAATAACTCAAGGCAAAGTATAAATTGGTGTAAAAAGCCAATAATCTTAATTTTGGAAGAGCTGAGAGGAAGCCTTGTATTTACTACACAAAGTAAAAAAGAAATATAAAACTGCCATCTAACACTGAGTATACATAAAATTTTTAATTAATCAAGGCTTATGTTTATTTTTCCTATTCTCGTCCTTCATTAGTTTGATGAAATATATTAAAAATTAGTTGCTGCTGAGACTGCTGTAACTTATTTTAACTCTTTGTGTGTTAGTGTAGAACTGTACTCCACAGGGCTTTTAATGACTAATCTTTTAAAGTTGATCACCAGGACTTTATTCTAAGCCGCCTCTGGAAAACCCTTGCCTTTGGTTAGCAGTCAAACATGTTAACAAACATTATTTGAACAAATAAATACCCAAAACACCATTATGGAGTCAATTCTGATTTACAGTGATCCTAAGGATAAAGTAGAACTATCCTGGTAGGGTTCCTAAGCTGTAAGTCTCTACAGGAGTAGGCCCCTTAATTTTTGTCCACAGAGTAGCTGGTACAATTGTACTGTCAACCTTCTGGTTCACAGGCCAAAGCATAATTCACTGTGACACTAGGGCTCCTCTGCATTACTCTAGTATAGCTTAATAGTCACTGTATATGCTGGATAAATACAGGTATTAAAAACCCTTAAATAATTTTAAGTATATCTATATAGAGGGGGGAGAGAGAGAGAGGAAGAGATAGATTTGGGGAGCTACAGTACTAAAATATTTAATAGCTGAAAATGAAGTGATTTTATGAAGATTACACAAGTTACAACAAAAAGAAAGAAATGCGTGAAATCTAAGGAAAAGGAACAGATAAAGCATTTAATAGAATGTACTATGTAACTATTTACTTACGTCCTTTTGGCTTTTGAAATGTAGATGGCCACAGAGATTTTGTCCAACTGGAGGCATCAACTGAAGGAGCAGAGGGTTGCTCAGAAACAGCAGGCTCTCTAGGATTTTCTAAATTCAGTAAGGGCAAGTCAGGCACTTTTCTGGAAATGGGCTTTAAAAGCTCGTCTTGCATTTTTAAAATTTCTCCAACTGGATCAAATTTTTTATATACTCTTTTGATGGGTTTTTTTAGAACACATGACTCTTCAAGGTTACAGGTAGAATCAATCTGGATGTCTACAGAAGGCTGTACTGAAGAAGGATTTGGACTAGTTGGTTTAGAACTTAAATTAGGACTCTCACCAGCTGTTTTCTCATTACTATTAATTTTACAGTCTGTATCAATAATTAAACAGTCTTCATCTGTATCACTACTGCAATGAATTGTATCTTCTATTTTATCTGCTTCTGATGTAACAGTCTTTTCCTTTGAGTTATCTGTATTTTGTAGAATATTTAACCTTTCATCTGCATTTATTTTATCAGGAGCCATATCATCAGAAATTTCCATTTCGTCCATCTTAGAACTTTCTAACTGTAAGGCAGCGGGCATGTTCAAGTCACTATCATGCATTAAACACTTGTTAGAACTGGCTGTTCTAGCTCCACATGATTCAATACCCTGATCATCATTCTTTTTGCTCTCTTCAGGGCCACTGTCTGTACCAGTCACCAGCCGTTTCTCTTTTTGTAACTGTTCCATTAAAATTTGAGATAAACTTCGAGAATTAGCAGAAATGCCTGGTACTTTTGGTGCCACAAGTGAAGTGGATGCTTTGGAGGTTGTGAGAGTGTCTGTCATGCCGGGTCTGCTGGAAGTACTCACTGGACTCGGTGACTTTGATGGTCCGGTGGTAGTTACTCCAAAAGTTTCAAGTTCTGTGACATCATCATCAAAATTCAGATCGAAATTTTCATGAGTTTCAATTTTTCGGCACTCATTAAATTCATGAGACATCTTAAGAAAACATATTAGTAAACTATCAGCATAAAACAGTTTTTAGTTTTTACCCAGTGCCCCCACACCTCATATATAGTCTATGGATCTTGTAAAGTGGACAGTAAAGTCTAATGTTTCCGAAAGGCTCTTTCTTAATTCACTACCATATTGTTTCTTAAGATTCTGTAGATTACCTCTGTTTGTTTCCAGTGATGGAATGCATGCTGAATCACGGAGTATTTTAAAACTTGTTAAGTATGATGGACTTGGACAAATATTATGTGGGATATGTAGTCCCAGTGGACTGACAGTGGGGTGGGAGCAACACAGGGCATAGAAAAATATCCACTTGAACATTTCATAATTCCGACACTTTCTCAATAACACATAAACCCCAAAATAAAATCCACTGCTACTGAGGTGATTTTAATTGACAGTGACCTTCTACTGGGTTTCCGGGGTAAATTTCAATACAAGATGATTGTTCCCCTTTGTCCTGAAGAAGAACTGTTAATTTTAACTGTGAACTCAATATTTCCGTAATAAACACAGGAAACAGTAAATACATTTAACAGGTTTTCTTAACTTACCATACAAAAGCTCAGAGACATAAAAGGTTTACACAATCCCTCTTCCAGGATGCACCTCATACAACAACATCTCAACACAGCACCATGTCACTGAAAACTTTGTTTTACAGTTATACATATTCCTACTCTCATAGCAGAAGGTACTACATATGGAGTATGTATCAACGATTATAAATTAAGATCATGTCAAACCATCAGCAACTAATTTATTCTATTTCAGCTTTCCACTGAAATGCTTATGAGAACATAGACAAATTTGCCAAGTTACAATAGCAAAAGCAAGGAATATTTATGAATTATCATATCCTAAGAGGAATTTCCGATCACCAAAAAATGAAACCACAGTCCAACAGTAAGGATGTATATTTTATATTTTAATCCATGCCTGCTCGAAAAAGTTTTTCAGAAAGACTAGGCTTTAGCTGGCCAAAGAGAAAAGCTTGACGCCACTCTGAGGATGCTGCACATCCAGGGAAGTGTCAGTGTCGCCACTCTGAGGATGCTGTACAGCCAGGGAAGTGGGAAGTGTCAGTGGCCTTTTGGGAATCCCTATAGTCACTAAGTGACTTAACTTCACCATGTACTTGAGGAAAGCACTCTTTTATTAAGTGCTGGGACAAAAGGTATGCAAAATGTGGCTTTCTGTGTTATCATGGTATCACTGAGAATATACTTTGTTCTCACCACTGGACCAATTGGCAGCATAAGGATGGATGGCGAAGGGACTGAGATTGTTCACAGCTTCAGTTTGCTAGGCTCCACAGTCAACACTTGGCACCAGCAGTCAGGAAATCAAAAAGCATATTGCGATGGGAAAGTCTGCTGTTAGGGACCTCTCTAAAGTACTCAGGAGCAACAGTGTCTCTCTGGAGACTAAGGTGCGCCT